AAACACATTCTGTTCACACCATTCTCATAATATTCACACTAAACACATTTTGTCACACCTAACACATCATATTCACACTAAACACATTTTGGTCACATCTAACACACTATATTGCTACCTGTCACATACCACATACATTAACCCTGAATTCACAGTATTCCAATGATAATTCCAGTGGTGGAACCACTGACCATACTACTGCTGGCATACCTGTCCTATCTGTCTGCAGAACTGTTCCATTTCTCAGGAATTATTGGGTAAGTGTGACCTGGTCACCCTGAGAATTGGGGATTATTGAGAACTGTACTATGTAGAACTGTTGGTTTACCTCAGACATAGGCATGGGTCATTGGTGATGATAAGCTTCAATAAAATTCAAAATATTATGTGATGAGAAAATAGTCTAAGAATAATTTTTTTTGCCTTATTTTCAGTTAGAAAGTATTAAAAAATGACACAGTATAAAACAATTCAAAAATAACATTTGCATTATGATATTCACTATTTTGAGAGTTATGTTTTTTTTTATTTGTTTATTGTGGGTCACAAAGCATCTTGGAAGGAATCACTAGATATCAAAGTGCATTGCTTGGTGCTCTTTGAAAAATTGGCAAATTATCTTATTTACTGAATAATGTCATTATTGTCTTCAAAACATGCAATTGCGTCTTTAGGAATTAAATAATGGAACTGTCAGAAATGAAAAGTTAAAAAATATCTCCAAAACGAAGGAAGTTGATACAAAAATTATACAAAGAGAAGCACATTTTACACACAGTATGTTTTACAGTCATGCAATGTCTACATTAAGTCTGATGCAATTATTATCTGAGCATTTAGAAAGTGGTTTGTGCTGATGATAAGGTTTTGATGAAAGCAATGTTGGAAAATGTAGTTTGTGGAAGCTAAGTACATATTTAGAGCTACGGTAACAGCAATTTTATTACTGCTGGTTCTAAGAACAAATGACCCAGTCTTGCTATTGCTAACATACAGTTGCAAGCTGGTGCCATCTGCCTCTCACTGTATATGGTACTATTTGTTAAATAAATCATACACCAAACAAGCACACTTATATTTATGATAGATGTCATATTGAATATATTAATTACTTATGAGGCGTGTAGATAGGGCCTAAGGCAGTTCCTAGAAATCTTAATGACTATGGTAATGGCTCGATCTTTTCAGTGGGGGAAAACTGTGAATTTTACAGATAATTTCTTAAAATTAGAACATATATCTTTTGAGTGGTAGCAACAAAATTAAAATGCAAGATACTCTTTACTTCTATTCAGCAAAAGCAACACAAATGTAATATAGGAATATGATTTTTGTGATTTTAAAATTATGTATCTGAAAGTATGATCATTTTTGCCCATTGAAAAGATTGAGTAATTACCATAAGTCTTTGGCTACATGATAAAGATGAAGCTTTTTTAAAACCCAGACTTGTGTCTTGGTAGACCACACCATTTTGTCAACAAATAATAAAAATTCCGTGACTTGTGACAAACTGTCAGTGACAATAACAACAGTCTTCCTTTAATCTATTCATTTCAGTATTTGCTGCTGTGGCCTGATGCAGGCCCACTACGCCTTCAATAACATCTCCCACAAGTCTCTCACCACCGTCACCTACTTCAGCAAAATGTTAAGGTAAGACATGAGGTGGGATAGAGTGTAATTCCTTATGATGATAGCTTTGTTATGAGTGTAGATGCTTTATGCAGTCACTTGTTTGGGGGGTGATATAATGAATGGTATGGGTTCAGTGTTATTAGTCATGCAGTCACTTACCAGGGTGGGGGGGATATGGTATGGTGTGGTGTCAGTGAAAAAAATGTGAAAAAATTGGTGCTGTGCTACGCCATGTATATATGCCATACAAGAATTTATCACCAACTGATATTTAGATGTTTTTGAAAACTTCCCTCAGCATTCCCATCTGTTGCCTCCAATAGCTAGAAACAGCAGAGCCATGTTGATAATAGAGGCAAGTTTCCAGAAACCCTGAAACTCAGGGTGTACTTTATACAGGACTTTTAATACTTGTGATATATATATATATATATTTTTTAATTACTATTCCAGTACTGCCAGTGATTGTATGATCTTCATGTTCCTGGGTTTAACACTGGTTAGGCCAGACCATGACTGGCATACTGGGTTCACTCTCTGGACTCTGTTCCTTTGTTTAGTGATCAGGTTTATGAGTAAGTATGGAGTTTGTATAGACATTGTGTTAGATGTGCCAGAGAGATTGTGACGGTTGTGCCACATTTTCCTTGACCAGGCTATGCCAGCACACAGCAGGGATCACTCTCTGGAGTCTATTCCTTTGTTTAGTATTAAATCAGATTATATGTATAAGTAAGTGATCATTTTGTATGGACATTGCGTTAGAGATACCAGACATTGTGTTAGATGTTCTAAACATTGCATTAGTTGTGCCAGGTAGATTGTGGTGGTTGTGCCAGAGTCTAACATGTAAGAATACATTTAAACAGTACTTAAAGCACTGAGCTAATTGATATTTTTGACCAGGTAAATAGGTTGCTGAGGCCTACAAGTCCAAATTGGGCAAAGGGGGGGGGGGGGGGGGGGG